TCAGGCTCATTCTTTCCAGGTGTTTTTTGCCCTGTTAATTCACCTACCATTATCCTCAAAACCTTATGGCTGTGACATAATAGATGATGAGAACTTGGGCGAGCAGGATTTAATGGAATGCTTTGTCTGTCGTTGTTCTGATGTTTGCAGCCACCAGCTCTGGAATTCTCTATCTATTCAGTTCTTGATGAGATTCCGCAGAATGGTTCTGGTCCTATCATCTCAGTTGCTGAGCCGCCTTTAGCCAAGTCTTTAACCTCTTCATTGCCTAGGTGGCCCTGATGGCCTGGTACCCACGGTAAATTGAGTTTGTTGGACAAGCCCCCCTCCTCTTGGCATGTATGTAGTCCCTGAACAGTTTAGAGTTGATCTTCTGGGAGCTGTTTGCATTCAGGACCGTTTGACTGTCCGAGTAAATGACGATGTTTTAACTCTTCACTTCTTCAGTATGGTACAGAGCTTTATTGCAGCGATTTCCGCCTGAAACACCGTGGCGTACTATCCAAGGCTTATGGATATCTTCATCCTAGGCCTGTCCCCGTAGATGCCAGCTCCGAACCCCTTGTTGGTCTTGGAGCCGTCGGTCCGTCGGTTGGTCTGCTTTAAAGGCATCTCCGTACAAAGAGGCGACCTCTTGATTCTCCTCTATTTTCCAACTCATGGTCCTTATAATCGGACCTTGGCCTTGTTTGAGTCTGTAACGTAATGCCTTTCCTTCACCCTGTATGTAGATATGTAGCGATGGCAGGTCAGGTTCAGCGCCGCAGCACCTCTAGGACTGCAGTTGGGGTCGTTTTCATGGCCCTCGTGATGCACACGCATGCTAGCCTTTGCACACTTTGAAGCTGTCTGATTGTTACGGCCTGCGTGACCTCTGCTCCCCAGGGGCCCGATTCTCCTCTGAGGGAGTAGAGCTCCCCGATAGAACGAATGTTTTGTTCTTGTCAACGTAGGCAGCCGAACCAAAGGATATCATCATCAGCCTTATTACCATTTTGTACAGGTTCACCTTTGGGTTAAGCCCCCAGCCGAGGGAAATTTTTCCTTCTGAACGATTTTAAGGTGTAGACTCCAGGTCATTTTTTGGTCAAAGATGAATCCTAGATATTTGACCCTCTTTCAAGACTGGGATTACCACTTTGTTAAGCCTAGGGCAGCTTAGCCCAGTACCCTCTTCGTTGTGAAGGGAAAAATTACGGTTTTCTGCGGATTAATCGATAGTCTTTCCTTCCTGCACCAGTTGTCGACTATCGACTATGTTCAGTGCGTTCTTTCTGAAGCATATTCCAGGCGTCTGCCTCTGAATAATATGACCATATCGTCGCCTTCCTTGCAAAGGGGCCTATCTCATTTTTTGATTTTTCAGGATAGAAAAAAGTACAAATATTTTGTGAGATTATTTTCGTGCCAAATCTGAGATAGGCCTAATACTAAAAAAGGCGTATCTTCGAGATTACCTATATTTGAGATACGCCTTCTAGATGGTAGCTGCAGGTAACTGTTTTGATGCCTCCCCATGGCCTAACTCAATTTAGCAATTTTTTGAGATAAGCTCCTTTGTAAGGAAGGCGACGATATCGTCCTCGTAATCAAGACAATGGAATCTCTCCCAGTCCAGTACAGTGGCGACAGAGCGCCTCCCTGTTGGCCGCCCCGAGCCACTTCTGCTTCTACTGTCACACCTGTTTTTGGCATATACTAAACCCCCTCGCTCCTCATACGGAGAGTGTCAGATTAAAATCGACGGATAATAGATCATCTGATGTCACTCAGCGGATAGTGTGTCAATGTGGGGTCCCTAATATATGTGTCCTCCATTTCCAGCATTTTGTATGGAAACGACGAGAGACATATAGGTCTATATGACTTAGGCGTTTGAGTCCTGCCGATCTTTGTCTACTTTGACAACTGTCGCATTTTGCCATACCTCTGGTATGTAGCCCCAAGCGATGCATGCTCTGAAAATTTTGCATAGATCAAAAGTGTGTTTTGACTTTTCTGGAGCAGTGCTGGGTCGATTCTTCCATGTGGGCCTAGCGATTTGAAGGGAAGGAACTCGCCTAAAGCCCATTCGATTCTCTTATATGCTACCACCTCCTTTGCCCTGTCCCAGTCCACCTTCACTGGTCTTCTGGGACTTTAGACCTGTTTTATCGGCTAAGTTTGATCACTAATAATGATCCTGGAAAGTGGATATCGATTAGCAGTCCCAGGTTTTCCTCGTTAGTGCTCGTGTAAACCCCGCCGATCTTTTTAGAGGACCAGGAGCACCCTCCCTTGCAAGGACTTTGTGCACCCTAGCGCACTTTGGCACATCTGTGATTCCTTCACAGAACCGCTCCCATGATTTTCTTTATGCCTTGCGGATCTCCTTATTGTACTGCGTAAGTTTCTACCATTGGCGTTGGTTGGTGCTTCCCTAGATTATGTGATGGGCATTTACATCGTCTCCAATTACGATATTTCGTCTTGTTGCTCTGCAGTGGGCTATGGCATCCCTCATTGAACGTGGGGGACTCGTCCTCTTCTCCAGGGAAGTACATCACGCAGCAGACTAACCAGGACTTGGTCCCTTTCTCTGCTATTGTTACGGTTGCTTGTACTGTAACAGAATCGCCGGAGCAGAGCTCCGAAATTAGTGTACAGCTAATTTTATTACTGTTGTATAGAATATAGGCTCTTGGATTGTTAGCCTCTGATGTACAGTAACTCACATCCAGACGGGTAAAGTTCTCTGATGGCTCCGTTGTTTAGCCACGGCTCCTGAAAAAGGGCGATATCGAGGCCTTTTTTTTGAAACCTTCTACACAGCACTGCTGGAGCAGCCTTGGCGTGGTGAAGGTTTATTTAGATGACCTTGATAGTATCCATGTTTTTACGAAGCAGGGCTGGGAGAGCGGCTCCTTAGTAGGACCTCCTCCTCTTCCATTACGTCGTCCTGTTGCCTATAGCCTGCATGTCTTTTCCGCGGACTGGTGCCATTTTGAGTAGAAGGCCCTTCAATGTCGCCCTATCGTACGTCCTCGGCCAGTTCCGTATCGCCGACCTTCTTTGACGTGCTGGCCCTAGCGTCTACGGCAGTGTTTTGGACCTTCTCCTCAGGTTTCTTGGCTTTTTCCTGAACTTAAGCCTTCCAAATCCGAAGTAGGGGCTCATCTCCAGTTTTTCTATACCTTCTAGGGACTCCTTGCTCATGGATAATGTCCAGAAATGGCCCTTGTCCATTGGAACTGTGCCCCAGGAGTTCCACAAGCTTGTCTTCAGGACTCTATTACCTACCGAGAGTTTCTTAAGTATTCTCTTAGCGGACACTCTTTCTCCCTTTTCGTTTGGGATAGAGACAGTGCAGGTCACTGGCTTCGGTAAGTCCTGGCCTGATGGTGCTTTTAACAGCGCCCCCTCCCAGGGCTTAAGTGTTGGCACCGTTTTTGTTAGCCACCCTGGACTGGTCTTGTCCGCGCAGGTGACCTCGAGATATCCCGGCCTATGATTGCATGTTTCAAAACGCATTTAAGGGTTGTTTTCAGGGATGTTTCCGTTAGAGCTCGAGATCGCTGATAGGACTTGTTCTATCCTGTTTGTCGTTATCTGGGCTTCAGGGTAGCCTTCGCTGACACTGGCGACCGCAACTTTCTCGCTGCTCGCTGCGTTTTTGTAGACTTGCAGGTCGTTGTAGCCTGTTTTAGGGTTTAGATATTACAAAACGAAATTCCATTTTTGTTATAGCCCAGAGGTCATCTAGTTCGGTAGCTCTCGACAATAATTGAATACTTTCACCTCCACATGTAATCAGGGCCGGATAGGGAAATTATTTCGGCCCGAGTTCTTATATCGGCCCACCCAGTAGAAGATCTATAACCTGTGCTTTCCCAAAAGCGCCACAGTCTAAATTTTTTCAAATTTTCGAGGTCCTGCGTTCTCCTTGCACATTAGAATGATAGAAAAATCAATTTATGCAAAAATAGACTTCTGCAAGGAAAATTTAATTTATCAGTCAAAGTATTAATAATTTGGAGAAAGTAGTATACCTACGCCGAAGTCCGAAGTTGATTGGCCCACCGAAGTGAACGTCGCACCGAGTTTTATTCGGTAACTCGCCGATCAAATCCGGGCCTGCATAAAATTGAAGAATACACAAATTAAAAGTTGACATTTTTGGGTTGGGAGATAGAAAAGGTAAACAATCACTTCTTCTAGAGTAGTCAAGCGAGTTTTGATAAGAAAATCTTGGATGAATTTGATAAAAATTAAGTATGTACAGGGTGGTCATTTTATCTTGATAACATTCCAAACTGTCATAATTTCTTTATTTTTGATTTAAATAAATAAAAAAACATACTGTAGGGTTGGTTTCCAAGTTTCAGATGGGTCGAACAAAAAACAAAAGACTAATATAGGTATTTTGACAGTTATGCACACAAATAGTATTTTTCTAAATGGAACACCCAGTAAATTTTCAAATTGTTTGATAATATGTTCCATTCTAATTATGTACTGGGTGTTCCATTTAAAAAAATGCTAGTTGTGCGCATAACTGTCAAAATATATTAGTCTTTTGTTTTTTGTCCACCCTATCTAAAACTTGGAAATCAACCCTACAGTATGTTTTTTTTTATTTTTTCAAATAAATATAAAAATAAAAAAATATGACAGTTTAAAATGTTATCAAGATAAAATGACCACACTGTACAGTTGTTTCCTTCTATAAGTCAGATTTGAAGTTTGGATATAGGTATATTTCAGTCAATTTCAAAATAATTATGCAGATGGTCATTGGTCTCATTTGAAGTATGTTTCAGGATAGGTACCTTAATCGACTGGAATATAGGAGGAGTAAAAGCTCTAACTTAACAGTTGTTTCTTATGCAGATTTTGCAAAAAACAAACCTCCAGTAGGAAAATGTTCCAGGATGTTCAATAAATTAGAATGATAATACTGTTTATTGAAGGAGTTCAGAGAAAACTGCAACCTAACATCATCTTATTTTTTCTTTGATTAGGTAGGCAATTTCCCAAAAAATGCTTACCAACAGTAGATCAGCCCGAGTTCCCAAATGCGCAAGATGCAGAAATCACGGAATGATATCTACTCTCAGGGGCCATAAAAAGCAATGCATATACAAACACTGCAACTGTACTAAATGCGGTTTAATCAAAGAAAGACAACGGATTATGGCAGCGCAGGTAACACTAATGTACATTTTTTTATTCATTTTTATTTATTATTCTGCTTTTATGTAGAGATACCTGTTAAAACCTTATTAAATATGCAGAGCTCTGCACCAGATGGTCAAAATATTTTTGCAGTGTTGTTTCAAACTTATATTGCTTGTCTTTTCTGTATTTTTCTTCGTCTTGTCTCACCCTAGAAAAGTGTCGAAATAGAATACAAACGTTCGATGAATATTGTCGAATAAATAGGTATCAATTTCATATTTAATAATAATTATTTCTTCTAGTATTTTCTTGAAATTTCAACAGTTATATACAGAATAAACTAGGATAATTTTCGAACGTCCCGATAGAACCAACTTAAAATAAAAAACCCTTCTAGCCAAAACGAAATACGATATGTGTCCTGACATTTGGGAATGATTGGTTAGTCGATATTTATTCCATTAGAAGTGTTGACACAGTATCGCTCTTCTTTTAAAACAAGAGGGTACATCAGTAATCATTTGGATAAATCGAACAGGCCTCTCGTGACATATTTTTGCTTTCTCAAGTTTCAAACTTTTCTAAATCGAACAACAAAAAAGCAGAGTGGTTTCAGTTTTTTTTTTATCTAGTTTAAGTAATATTTATTGTACTCAAGTCTTATTGGTATGATAGGGCTTTTTTGGTTTGGTACGGAAACCTCAAACACTTGTACAGATAGAAAAGGTTTAATTCAGTAACTTAGATGAAAATTTTAGGTTGCCCTTAAACGTCAACAAGCAGCCGAAGATGCTATAGCGCTTCACCTAGCATCAGCAGAAAGTGGTACAACATACGAGTACTTGCCTCCGGGTAGAATTTATGGAATGCAAGTTACTTCACCTGAGGCAGAACCTCTGGATGGCGACGACCCGCCTCAGTCTGAGAAATTTTCCTCTCCGTCGGAGAAGTTACCTTCTGACGGTGTTAAAGACGATGTTAATGTTAGTCCGGCATCCGTGGAAATGTTGAGCAAGTTGTTCCCTAATAAAAAAAGGACGGTCTTGGAATTGGTTCTGAAAAGGTAGGTCATAATTCAAATTCTTCACACCTGATAAACCTTTAGACAAATTTAAAACATCAAATTAGTGGTAATTATTTTATATTTGGTACAATTTTTTTTTCTACAAACCATCTCATCTCCTTTTGAAGCGAATTGCTGCTTGTGTATATGATTTCTAGTAGAACCAGAATCGGTGTCATTTAATTCATAAACAAACACACAGCAATTAGTTGTGCGATTTCAATCGCTGTCTATAAAGCTTTGTAGAAGATCAGAACTTATCTTTGCGTTATTGTTGAGAGACCTGAAGTAATATGGACAATAAAGAATGGTCTCCCTCTAATATGGATCGAATATCCAAAATTAGAATGGGATAGATATGGAAAATAAGGTATGTGTTCCATGCTCGATTAGGGGTATTCTAGAATGAGAAAAATTTTACCCTCGAATTGAGAAGCTTCTTAACCTGTTAAGTATATCCAGAAACTCTGCTATATTGCCTATATTATGAAAGATACTTATAAAGATATGAAGAAAGGTTGTTTGTGGTTAGGGAGTGTGATATTTCCTGAAGGGAGGCAACCAAGTCTCTAGGGATGATAACTGATAAGTGAAGTATTTAACAGCTTCAAACGAGCAAACGGAATTGCTTCTAGAATATCGTAATGACAATTTTCTCGAAAGACTTTCCGATAATAATTCACATATTGTTTGCTTGGGCTTCATGAAGCTTTAAGTATGTCTAGAATGTCAGCCTAAATTATTCGATTTCAGCTTTATTGGTGTTGTCATATCAACAAGGAGTTTTTTAGTGGTATTATTAAATAGTAGATGAAAATAGTGAGGTTTAGGACAGAAATCAAACTCCTGGATTACCGACGTTTCGGCCTTATATTAGGCCTTCTTCAGGGCTGAAAGAATAATACACATCATTATATCCTATCTGTGTCTTGGAAACATCGCTATCGACTTCAGTAATAATTTTTTAAAAAATGACATTCAGAAAATTAGAAAGCTACAAAAATTTCAAAAAAAATCAAAAAATTCTTTCTTTCCTAACATTCAGCATTCAAAAAACCAAATAAATATAAGAAACAATAAAAGTACAAATAAATATTGAAATCTTAAAAAACACAAAAACGAAAAAGTTAATTAGACTACAGGTAACGAAATATGAAAAATTCGATGGTTATTCCAGATCTCAATACTGTTATTTCTATAATAAAACATGAAAATATTTTGATTTAGGTAGGGTAGAGGAGCAACCGAGTAAATTGTACTCGATTTGGTAGTCAAAATTTCAAACTTTTTACCTAATTTTTAGTGACATACCTCTTCTTCTAATTAGGAGCTTCCGTAAACACTTAACTCTAAAAACTCTTCATTGTACATAATCATTTGTGACACGATTTATCTAGTTTGGAATATCCATAAAAAAATTAAAATTTGTTGGTACTTTCTCTATTTCATAATGTTTGTTTTATGCAGTATTTTTTCTTTCTCCCGGCTTTACTGTATGTTGTTGTTGATCAAAACCCATGCTATCATTTGAAACGTGACTTCTGTAAAACAGTCTTCTGTGCTAAAAGGATTGACCAATGCATGAAAGATTTCCTGAAAATCACTGAAGAGTCTCGAAACGTAAGGCATACGTTTGTAGGATTGAGCTAAGTGGTGTTCAGCATTCATAAATTCATGTAGATGACAATTAATTCTGATATCATGTTTTAGCTTCCCATTGTAATACAAGAATGGGCCACTTTCACATTTTTCAAAAACATATTTTAATTATTCTTTCAGTCATCCTAATAGTATCTGTATACTTTTTTACCGAAAAAACAAGCGCTTATTTTTGAAAAAAAAACTATTTAAAAATCGAATTTTCAAACTGGCGCGAAAACGCGAAATTGGTTTGTGACGTCACAAACCAGAAAATCAACAAAAATGCGAGGATGCTAAATTTCTCATTAGTAAATCATTACACATTTCACTAGCTAGAAACTATTTTCGTCCTTTACTAGATTATAAAAAAATAAAGGATAAGTATAATCGTTATAACTCATTTAAATTTCGCATTTCTACATGTGGCAACAAGCACGTCAAAATCAGCTTTAGCCAATCAGAGGGCGTTTTCAATCACGTGATTTTTCGTTTAAATTTTTAGTTTTTACTAGCTAACCCGGGAACTTCGTACCGCCTCTGAATTATTAAATATCTATTAAATGTTGTGTTAACGTATCTAGTACCTAGCTGAATTAAATTCAGGTCAAACCAGAGTCGCTTGCCAGTGAGTTCAGTGACGCATTTTAGAGCTGCTCTAGAGCGCCCCGAGCTGTTTATAGGCGTTCCAGTGTATCAGAGTTTCGCGCAACGGAACTTTTTTTTTCGGGATAAAAAATAGGCTATATCACTCCCCTCTATAGCCGAATTCGATTGACCGGATAAGATCGATCTGGTTCAATTTAAGTGAACCACACTGTGTTCGATTGAGGTTGGATCACTGCACACTCATCAACAAAAAAATTATGTAGATCAGAAGAAGTTCACTTAAATTGAACTCAAATCGATCTAATCTATGTCAATCGAATTCGGCTTATATAGAGATACGTTGTATTAAATTTAAGGTCGGTCCAGCCGTTCTCAAATTCAAAAAATAATAAAGTTACGTCGGTTGAATGCGCAAGCCTAAATAACTGAAATGTGGCAACGTTGTTTCATGTTGTCAAAAAAAAGTTGGGTTCTGTTGTTGTGTAAAGTGAATGAGTTTGTTTATAATTAAATTAATAATTAAGTCAAAATTAATATCTTTTTCCGAGATGCGTAACCTATCCACAAACCTTCCTTGGAATGGCCATAACAACCTACCAACGTTTCATCGTAATCGGATAAGTGGTGTAGGAGCGCATCAGGCGCAAACCAGCAAAGCAAGCAAGCAAGCAAAAAAACATTGATTTTTATATACCTACCAATATAGATTTATTAATTTATTTAATAATCCGACTAAAATCTTGCAAAATATTGTTCATTCTCGGTTGCATTGATGTATTTGCGTCAAAAAATTTCATAATTTGTCATATTCCCGGCACGTGAAAGTGGCCCATTAAACATCGAGAAAAAAATGTCGCATTTATGGTAGAAACATTCGAAAAGAGTTGCTATATTAATGGAGTGATTATTGATAATTAAAAATTGAAGATTGAAAAGTTTATGAATCATATCAACTCTGGCGAATTTATGGTAGCAACAATCCAAAAAAAAGTGCTACATTGAAGAATTACCTAGTAGAGGGAATAGTCAAAAATTGAACATCGGAAAATATCAGCTAAGATCAAAGTAACACGAAAACAAAGGAGTGAAAATCAATTGCTCGCCCACTTATCCCTCTAGCGCTTATAGCTCTAAATCTAGAGTATTTCGTGTCACAGATAATTTCCATGAGCTTTGGGTCAACTGAATTGGTTTAAGGTTGACTCTAGCTGCAGTTCCGTAAATTTTCATCGACACCTTCTTGATTGACAAAGTGTCCAAGGTAAGCTGCTTCTTTCCGAAAAAACTCACACTTGTCTGGCTGAATATTTGGCTTCAAGAAGGCATTTAAAAACTTCTGTCGGCCTTGAAATATAATTGGGACCGGATTGTTGGGCAATGAACGATGATATCGACCATCTTCCATTTTGGATACCAAGAGAAAGATTGTCCATGACTTTCTGGAATAGCATTCGAACAAATTCGTATAGTGGCCATTTTGTACAAAAAAGCTGGTTTGGGAACGACCTCGAGATCTACTTTTATTTGATGGAAGTCCAAGGCAAAGTTCAGAATGATCAAGTAAAATAAAAAAATACCCAGATATACTCAACTCTTCAAAAAAGCTTCATGGAATTGTTATTTTCACGAGGTGGTTGTTACTCCGAATTGGTATTCTTCCGTTTTTTTCTCTGTTAAGAAGGAATAAGGATCAGCCGCTACCATTTAGACCAATCCTATACCGACAGCGTTGACAGATAGGTACCAACTGCGCCAAAAAATTTTTTTTACATTGTTTTTGCTATTTGGCTCTATAATATCTTATTTCAATCAAATGTGCGTCAGAGAAATTTTCAATATCAGTCCTACATTGTTATCATACATTTTTTTTTTCAGATGCAACCATGACCTTCTCAAAGCCATCGAACACTTCAACCTAACCAAGCACAAATCCGCAATGTTATGCGGCAACGAATCGGATTCCAGCAGTACAAAAGATGAACCATCGTCGTCGTCGGCATTCAAACCGGTCTCCAACTTTCCAAAAGGCCCTCAGAAACCTTCCTCCAGTTACGTAGGCATGCACACAGCTACAGTTCCGATGATATCCAGCGAAGTGTTTAGTTTTTATCCGTTTTTCCCTTTATTTCCAAAGCCTGCTGTTTTGCGAAATCCTGTTTATGTGCCAACCGGATTTTGTGATTGCGATCAGTGTAAACATAATTTGTATAGTTCGACTGCTGCTGTAGAAAATAGACCTTAGAATTTTTAGTGCTTTCTGTGCCAAAGAATTATCTATTATTTAGATGCTTGTTTTTTCTATAATAACAATGTAAATACGTAGAATATTAGCATTTGCAATCCTACTCACTTAAATTTGAAAAAAATCTAAACAGAAATAAAATGTTGAATTAAAGTGGAAACTTCTTAGGGGCATTCAGCTTTTTTGTGGGTACCTACTGAATGAAACTGAGCCGTGACGCTTGGTTATGTAACGCTCATTCGGGTACAGTCGGCTTAAGTCGACTTCAGCGAGAGAGAGAAACAGTAATTACATTTTATTCAAAGTAATTTTTGACAATAATCTTTCTTTCTTCTTGAGTGTAATTCAATTCAGTGGCATAATTATGTTAATGTGACAGAAATTGTCGTGTTTTATACAGACATCATCTAAAGTTTTTAGTAAATAGTTTCATCACATTTTTTATTTACCATAAAGCTATTATTTCATCTTTAAAGTATGATACAGAGGACGATCAATCTGGGCAATACAGAACACAAAAAAAACCTTTACTTCATATTATGAATCTCGTCTAATTGAAAGTTTTCACTTCTGTCGTGTAGTCTTAAGCACTAAGCAGTAAGCACACACCATTTTTTTTCAAGTTGGATTCACTAAAAACCAAAACTCTAGTGAGTAAAGTATGTCAAAATATTATATTAGTGCTCGTTAAATATTGTGCAATCTTTTGTTATTTTTTTGTATAATTATATATTAAGGTAAACTTGAATTCTAAGGCTTGAACCAATTTAGTTTTTGTCACTTTTGCCTTAAAGAATTTGATTAAATCCCAATTAGTAAAAGTGATTAATGTGCGCTGGTAGATTAAATAGAATATTAGGGATATAAATAGAATTAGCCGTAGTAATACTTGATTAGATTTACAACTGAAATTGGATCAAAATGTGCCAAAGACCTAGCCAAATAAAAAATATTAGGTACCTACTATTCTTTTCAAAAGAAAAAATGTTTTTTATTTTTCTTGCAAACTGCGTCCATATGCAATCCGTTCTGTTGCTTTTTGGAGTAGGTATAGTTCACAAATCTCGACAGCTATTCAACAAAAAAATACTTTATCGTGAGACATGAAGTAAATACTGCCTCAATCAAATTTTGGAAACCACTACTTAAATCATTTTAACTAACAATGTGTTTATTACAATCTGCATTTTTAAATAGATTATCAGCAGTATGCAACATGCTCTTTTAGCCTAAAAGCGCTTTTTAAAACTGGTACTTTTAAAAAAAATTATGGCTTAGAATACACATTTTTAAAAGTGACCAGATTTAAAAAGCGCAATTATGGGAGGAAGCAGCCTCCTAATTTATAATTTGGACAGCAATGAACTCTCTATTAAGTGATAGGTCCGCCACTTTTCACCGATGTTCAAGGCTTTGGAGGTCTTTGGTCAACTCCGGGTCATCGATAAGATGGACTGCTCTTTTTTGTATCGAGCTCAACATCTTGAGCAAGTATTTGGATACCGATCTCCATATATAGGAGAAGTATTTCAAGGATCGTCTTATCTGGGCCTTATAGAGCAGCAAAAGCTAAAATGGGGTATACAACTTCCTTGTTCTATCAAGTGCCACTAGCTTTTGTGCTGCTGTCTTGGCGATTTTGGTGGCGTGGTTACGCCAAGACATGTTATTTTCCACGTTGATGCCCAATACGTTTATGGATGAAGCCAAGGCCCAGTGTTGGCCCTGTCATTGTTAGGTCAGATCCTGCAAGTTTTGCCTTTTTTGAGAAAATAGTTGCTTGCGTCTTTCCTGCATTGAACTGGTAGATGTTGTTTTTAGCCCAGTCCACGATGGCGTTCGTATCTTCATTGATGCCAGCCATTTGATTTTCTCGCTCGCGTTGGGAACAAGCAGCGGTCATTGGAGTCTGCGACATGAAAGAGGAGATAATAAGGGTGTTGTCATCTGCAAAGCTTTGCTCGCAGGTTTAGTAATTCTAATAAATAGTTTGTTATAAACGCTGAAGAATCATCAAACTAAACGAAAGCCAAAAGCAGAAGGTTGTAGTTCTTAAATCGATACCATACTGATACCATCAATAATAAAGGAATCATATTTCCCGACAAGTCGTTAAATTGGTGATAAATTACTCAATTTTTTTTTGCTTATTTCATTGAACCGCCATCATAAAATCATAAATCAATTTTAAAATTTACATTAAAGATTTGCATGGTGCATTTGCTCAAATATATCACGAAAATGCATCTACGCTCAAAAAAACAGGCAAATCCAAGGAATCGCGCCGCGCTAAGTATTGCGAAGCTACCCGGAGTAGTGCACGGCCGGTAAAACTTAACTTCAAGTGTCGATATCTTGAAAACTATGCATCGCAGAGTATCGCGGGTTTTTTTTCAAAAAATTTCTTGATGTCTTAGCTTTGTTTCATTCACTGATAGTATGGCAGAAATCCTTAAAACAAAAAAGTTTCTCGCGTACTGAAAAAAGTACCGTATAAAAAGTGTAAGTTAAAGTTTTAGTTTTACGAATAAAGCGAGTTTTTCAGAAAAACAAAATAATCTCAGTGATTTTCGTTAACGTATTCTCCGTAATTGGCAGCAATTATCTCGTTTAAATTCATGTTCTCAACAAAGCATAAAAACCAATGGCATAACACACGTAACTTTTCACGTCCACGGATGGTCCCGCAGAGATAAAACACTTCTCAATCGGTCCTTAATTGGGCCGTTACCTAATTAAAATATTTAATTAATAAAGAAAATACAACAATTTAGTTAATTAGACCCATCCCTACATTTTAAATAGAAAAAATAACTTACTTTGGGTGGGTCTAATGTTTATTGTTTAAGTCGACTGAGTCCACTGATCTGAGTCCCAAATTTAGACACGTTTGAACTACAAATCAATTCTCCTATCCTTCTGATGAGCAAAGTGGTTAATGACTAGTTCATTGAAGTTCCCAATTTTTTTGATAAATGCCTTCTCAATACTGAACATAGCTAATGTACTTAACCTAGACTGCTCTTTCGTGGTTTGTCATAAATCAAGCTTTGGTTTTGGACGACCACTTTTCTATAATTCCAACCGTTTCTCAAAAGTCAATCCCCCACTGGAAATTAAAGAAATTATTTCCTGAACAAGGGAACCCATTTTTGTGAAGCGATTAAAGAAAGATTCAGGACAGATTACTCAAAAAATTAAATCAAAACAAAAACAATGTGCACAATGACAATAGGCCCCTTGCATCAAATTTTTTTATTGCTGATTTCGATAGTCTATGAAAAATAAGTCAACACGTGTTTTTTCTTTTTCTTGTTAGTCAAAAATTGACGGAGATACAACGCTTTGAAATGTCCTTCCGACGTCATAACTTAGGTAAAATACGTTGTGAGTTGTGACGTCGCACATGCTCAGTATATCTATATATAAAAAACTTAATATTTGTATAACTTTCGAAATAATCATATTTGGGCGGAATAAAAAAAAAAGTAACGATTTTTTTTCCATTTCCTACAGTTTGCAATAAACAATAATCAATTTAATTTTCCATGCAAGTACCCTATTCAGTAGTTGTTTTAAGAAAAATAACTCTGGACACCCCAACACTCTAGGCCTTTTGATTTTCATCTTTCTTCAATAAACGGCATTGAAAAACGATAATAAAATCGTCGAATTCTGAACGCTCTTGTTCCATTCCGATAAATATACCTATATCGATTGATCGAGGAGCTGGCGCCGTTGCCGGCCGTCGACGTGATGGAACATATGGAAGCAAATGTGCCTCTTTATCTTACTCATTTACGCCCGTTATGTCTCTCTCTCTCTGATTCCTATTGCATTCGCTTATGATCATTTCAAAGCTATAAGCCCAATTTTGAATACGGCCGAGCGCAGCTAGGCCTGTATTTGTAATTTTAAAAGGCGGGTACCCAATATGCGCAAAATAATTCGATTTCTGTATTTTGTTGAGCGTGATGTTGGTTAATTTAAAACGTAATATTCAAGATGTTTAATTGAAAATTTATTGTTTGATTTTTTGGTGGGTCATTGACCGAATGACCTGACAGAGGAGCCGCGCCTGATAGACACTGTCACGGATTCCGGGTACACAAAAACTTACTTCACAAATAATAACAGCTTTTATTGACCAAAATTGACTTTATAAAAATTCACTTTATCACTTATCGAAACTCCCAAATCAAATGATTACTACGCGCTATTTATAGACGACATTATCGTACCCCGGATTTATCTAAAAGTCTTGTTTTCTCGAATATAATGAAATTTCCAGAATAAACGCGACTATTTTTGTAAGACTGTTCACTTTAAGGTTTTGTAAAAAAAAACTTCAAATTTCTCTTATTTGGAAAGTCTCAAAAACTAACGATGACTCTGGTTTTGATATACAGAAATCATAATGGCTCAAAGTTCCATTCAAATTCAGGTGCGTCACTTTTTATGCAATAGTTTAAATCTTTTCAGTTCGTCCTATCTAGTTATCATAGCGGTACCATCGAGAGCACGGAGGCCTATAGATGCGGAGATCTACAAAAATAGAAAACTGTAGTTGCTACCAACCGATTCCACATAGGTATGAGCAAGTATAGGTCTAAAATATCAGTTCCAAATCAATAAGCAAACATATTGGAAAACTTTTCATTGTAGGTGGTCCGATGTGATGAACTCGCCATACTACCGCTTATGGATTATTCGATATCTGATATCATGTTTTGCCAGAAAATAAACAGAATCCAAAAAACACTCAACCGTCGGCGAGTCCAAAGGAGATGTCAGGCTGCTTTGTTGATCTGTCGATTTGTTGATGTTGATAAATTTTTGTTTATAACATAGCAACCAGTCAAAAAACGGTAAACGTGTTGTTATACATACACATACATACGAGTCTGAGGAATATGAACTAAGTAATCAAAAACTGCAAAAATTTTGCGGCATAGTGCGGGAACATCGATTTTCCACAACAAAAGCAGTTCGGAGAATTGCATTTTCCGTACGATCGCGGAAAAAATTGATGAAAATATTCTATAAATTACAGAAAAGAGACAACAAAGGAGTCTATATATACAGGGTGTCCAAAATACCATGGGCCACCATTGGTATATCAGAAACGGTAAGAGATACGAGGGCGGTTAAATTAGAAAAAAGTTTCCATTTTCGAAGGGTATTTAAAATATATTTTCGTTGTCGCCAAATGTTTATCAATTTCCGAGTTACTGGGTGATTTGTGGAAAACACCTAAAACAATTTTGGCGAATTTTTTAAAAACTATTGATTTTAGAGACATTCTTCAAATTTGAAAGTTTCATGATTTTTTTTTCTCTACAATATTGTGTTTTGTAATGTTAAATCCGACGTTTCGTCTTCAGGATACCATCATCAACTAAATTTTTTAAAATACGGACCTGGATTTTTTATTTCATATTTTGAAAGTAAATCTAATTTGCCATCTTACCATGTATCATACATGTATATTTCCCAACGTTTCGGTAAAAAAAACGTCATCAAGCATTTTTTTTTTTTTTTTTTTTTCAATTTACGCTCATTACGGTCCAGCGCTTGTTGTCAGTGTCGCTGAAGGCCATTTCGAACATTTAGAGTACCTATGGCCGTTTGCACCGACCATTTTAAGGAAGCCTTAGCGATAAGTATTCTCTAAAATGACATATTTACATGGAGAAATGTCGCTGTAAGAAATACTTATCGCTAAGGCTTCCTTAAAATGGTCAGTGCAAACGGCCACTAGTAGTTTTTCTGCAATAATACCATTTTCTTGTAAATTTTTAATTTTTTTTCATGATAGTCAGAACATGTTCATCCGTTGAATAATAAAAAAAATAAAAATTTCAATTGTATTTTTATCTGAAAAAATCCAAATGAAAAGCAAAACTCTTCTCAAATCCATTAATGCAAAACTAGCGAAAAACTGAAAGCGCTGGACCGTACATTTAAAATAAATATGCTTGATAATGGATTTTTTTACCGAAATGTTGGAAAATATACATGTATGACACATAGTAAGATTGCAAATTAAATTTCCTTTCAAAATATGAG